TATTTTTTAATAGTTTTGGGGACTATAAGATAATAACTTTAAAAAAATTAACCAATGGATAATACACACATACCTACTTATATAACTATTTGAACCCAAATTCGGGAAGGTGAAAAAACTCTAACCCGACCTGAGGATAATAATGTAACTTCCTTAAAAAATATTATTTTTTAATTAAATTTTTAATTTATACCGGATCAGATCAGATCAGGTTGAATTTATTCTCTAAAAAATCGGTTGGGTCGAAGTCGGATCGAGCATATATATTTTTTGGGTCATGTCGGATGTAGTATATAAAATTTTTAGGTCGGATTAGGTTCGGGTGGGGGATACCTATTTTTAGGTCGAGTCGAGTTGACAAAAAATTTAACTCTAACCCGATCTGTTGTCATTCCTAGATGCAAATTCTTTAACCCAAAATCTTTAAAAAAATATCTCCTTTCACCATTAAAACCACTTGATTAATTCAATTAAGTAGCTTTGATAAGGTTAAGATTTTTGAAATATTCCACGATAGGTTTAAATTTCATTCAATGTAAATTTTATTAGGGATAAAGACACTAATGCCCTTGAATTTCGACAAAACTTTCAATTTGATACATGTATTTTTAAAAATTTTAATTTCTCTTTATACTTTGTTATGGAGTTCTATTATGATCACTAAGACTAATGTTGTTAAAGATAATGCTGAAGGACGCGTTGACTTTCACAGATTCCAGATGACAATTCTTACCTAAAATGGCCTTAAATTTTATTGATGTTTTTTACGAAATCCTTAAGGATCCTTGCTAATTTATCCAATCACTTTATTTTAAAAAAATAAGCTGAATTACATCGGATATCTCTAGAGAACGTTATTAATTAAAAATAAAGTATATCTACCAATAACCAGTTATTTTAGTAGGATGAGACACTAAATTCCTTAAACAAGGTCAGGGGTTCAAATCCTAGCGTTTGCAGCAAATTGGATTGAGATGGTCGCCCCCATAATAGACATCTACAAAATCCGGTCTGAATTAGTAGGTCAATAGATCGGATATCATTGATTAATTAAAAAAAGTAATCTACTAAAAAATAAAGATACATGACCTCACCACTGTTGATTTTTTTAGGTAAACTTTTTTAACTTTGACTCATTATTATTTAAAATTTATTATTGATAAAAATATAAAAAAATATATTTTAAAAACTTTAAATTAAATTACTTTTAAATATATATTTTATAAAATTTAATTATTTAAAATATTTAATATTTAAAATAATCATAATTAAATTTAAAATTTTTTACTTTTAAAAGTCAACAATTAACAATTAGTGGGCGGGAGGCAATATCTTTTTTAAAATAGTTAACCAATGGACAAGACATACATACATGCGGATGCAATTAGGGATGATAATTTAATTTGAATCTGATAGGTTTTGAACCGATCTAATAGGGTTAAAAATTTTAAAAAATATGAGTTTGGGTCGGGTTTTTTTAAAGGGTGAGGTCAGGTCGGGTTCAGGTGGAGGGCGAAAAAACTTCGACCTGAGGATAATAATGTAATTTTTTAAAAAAATTATTATTTTTAATTAAATTCTTAATTTATATCGGGTCGGATCAGATCAGGTCGAATTTATACTCTAAAAAATTTGGTCGAGTTGAGGATATATAATTTTTGGATCAAATCGGATGTAGGATATAAAATTTTGGGTCGAGTCGGATTTAGGTGGAGGATACCTATTTTTATGTCGAGTCGGGTTGACAAAAACCCAATCTTAACCCAATCTACTATCACCACTAAATACAACTACTTAAACTCAAAACCTCTAAATAAATATCTCCTTTCACCGTTAAAAACACTTGATTAATTCAATTAAGTAACTTTAATAAGGTTAAGATTTTTGAAATATTCCACGATAGGTTTAAATTTCATTCAATGTAAAATTTATTAGGAATAAAGACACTAATGCCCCTGAATTTGGACAAAACTTTCAATATTATACATGTATTTTTAAAAATTTTAATTTCGCTTTGTACTTTGTTTTGGTCTTCTATTATGATCACTGAGACTAATGTTGTTAAAGATTTGTAGGATATGTTGACTTTTCACTGATGTCACGTGACAATTCTTACCTAAAATGTCCATAAATTTTATTGACGTTTTTTTTACCAAAACCTTAAGTATCGCTTAATAATTTATCCAATGACTTTATTTTAAAAAATAAGGTAAATTACGTCAGATATCTCTAGAGAACATTATTAATTAAAAATAAAGTAAATCTTTATTTTTTAATAATTAGGATAATTATAAGGAGTACTTTATAAAAAAAATTAACCAATGGACAATACATATATCTGTAGATGCTGGCATACTGCTACTCTAACTCAGAACCTTTAAAGAATAACATCTATTTTTACCATTAAAACCATTTGATAAATTTAATCAAGTCTTCACTTTTATAAGTTTAAGATTTTGAAATATTCCATGGTAGGTTTAAATTTCATTCTATGTAAAATTTATTAGGCATAAAGACAATAATGCCCCTTAATTTCGGCAAAACTTTCAGTATGATACAGGTACTTCCAAAATATTTAATTGTTCTTTTTACTTTGTTTTGGTCTTCTCTTATGATCACTAAGACTAATGTTGTTAAAGATGTTGTAGCAGGGCACATTGAGTTTTCACTGTTGTCACGTGGCAATTCTTTTATAACAAGTCCTTAAATTTTATTAATATTTTTTTTCCAAAACCTTAAGGACAACTTAATAATTTATCCAATTACTTTAATTTAAAAAATATGGTAAATTACGTCAGATATCACTAAACTTTGTCCGCTAACTCATTTATATCACAGAACTTTTAATTTTACCAATTACAGCACTTTAGTTTTACATTCAATTATGTCACTCTGTTGTTAAATCACTAATAATACGATGACATGACTAATGGTTGCTGATGTGGCATGTCACACCAAAATGACATCGTTTTGGTGCAGATTTCTGATGGTTAAAACAACATCGTATTAGACTCTACACTTTTAGGATATATCGCTTTTGCCGTTGGACTTTTAAACAACTTTTTTTTACCTCTACACTATTTTGTTCGCCACCGACAGTGAAGCCCTGTCGTTCATTGATCATATGTCACGACAAGATTGGTACCAAAACGTTTTGTATCTCACTCCTCTTTCTTTTTTTAATGATTGGTTTTCCATTAAATACACTTGAAAGCGAGGAAAATTTATTTAAAAGTTTAATGTATTAATAGTCTAATCTCTTTCAATGATCGATCTATAAAGCTTTGAGGTATGCTATTCGTTTTCTTGAAGTAATAATTTTCACCGTTAAGATTTTTTAACAAACACCCAAAATCCCATAAATCTAATAAAGTCTCCAAACATCTAAAAAATAATAGATTTTTTGTGTTTAATTTCGTCAATTTTTGAGTGAGTTTCATAGAAAACTAATCATATGAGAAGAATGAAGAGTCAAATGTGAATATTTTGGTATCAATTTTGTTGCGAAAGATGATCGGTGACTGGCGACAATTGGCTGCCACTGACGGTAAAAAATGTAGTGGTTAAACAGAAAAATGTTTAAAAGTTTAGTAATATAATCGATACAATCCTAAAGTTTAGTTTCTAAAACGACATCATTTTAAGCATCAGAACAATCACACCAAAACGACGGAGTGACTTAACGGCGGAGTGACATAGTTGAATGTAAAACAAAAGTTTAGTGTTATAATTGACAAAATTAAAAGTTTAGTGATGTAAATGAGTCACATACAAAGTTTACCTTAAAAAATATTATTATTATTTTTTAAAAATATTTTTTCCTTTTACTTTTTCTTTACTTCTCGTTAGGGATGGGCATGGGTCGGGTGTGGGCCAACCAGACCCGACCCGAAAGTTTTACATCCTTCACCCGACCCGATCCGACCAGACTTTTTGAGATAAAATTCGAAATCGATCCGACCCGACCTGAAATAATAAAAAATATTATTTTCATTCAATAAAAATAGTGATTTAATTGAAAAAATAATATATAATGGGGTATTATTATAATTATTCCTAAATATATAAGGTAAAATTATATTTTTTTCGGGTCAGGTTGGGTCGGATGTTTTTTACTCTAAACCAAAATCCGACCCGAATCCAATTTTTTTAAAAAAAAACCCCAACCCGATCAGGTCAGGTCAGATAAAAAATCATCGTATTCAAATCTCATACCCATCCCTACTTCTCATTCTCCCCGTCCTTCACTATTCTCTCATACGAAACTTTACTAATCGTCGTCCATTGTCATCATCGATAGTGATTTATTTTGATCACAGAAACCATCAAATATATATTATTATTTTTTTCTCTCCTCTCAAATTTTTTCTCAAATCTCAAATTAAATTATCCAAAAATCAAGTTGAAATCTTAGTTTAGATTGTAATGAGAATGTGATTCTAAATATAAATTTAAATACTCTAAAATGTAATTATATTCATTTAAAAATTTAAAAAAATATTTAAAAAAATTCGATCATCCAATTACTTATTACTCTTTTTCTATTAAATAAAAAAAATTATATTTTAAAAACAAATATCAAAACTTAAATTTATACAAAATAAATTAATATAAATATCATTAATTATTTGGCCAAGATCTCTACTTATCACTTTTTTCATTATATTGTATATTGAAAAATGCAATCTAATTGATAGTGATAACTTGCTAAGCGCCACCGTGTAATGTCGGTTGCCATTAAATCTCTAATCAAATTTACATCAAACGGTCCTTGTCGTCCCCAAAATGAAAATAATCCAAGTGTAGTGCCCGCTAATAATAATCATTCTAAAAAAATATCATATAAGAAATCAAAATTTTCCGTCCATTTAAAAGGCAAATCCAATATTTCCCCATTGTTTCCTTTCATTCACAAATCCATACTTCAATTTCATTCTAAAAAAACCTAATAAATAAATTAATTAATAAATTTGGGACGGAAAGATTATAAAGAAAATTCTTCAAAAAACAATTTTCCTTTTTCTCCTTTTCTAATCGAAATGAAGGATGACGACACTCTGCCGCCGCCGACGACAACGATAGTGAATGTGAAAAAGGAAAGCGCAGATTCCTGCTTATTTGGCAGAGGCCGTTACAAGTTCTGGGCATTCGCCGCGATTCTGTTACTGGCATTCTGGTCGATGTTCACCGGAACCGTTACCCTCCGTTGGTCCGCCGGTAATCTCAACCGTCTTTCTGATGATATAAGTAGCCCCATTCACGACGATCTAGATGTCCTTGTATGTTCCCCCAAAGCTTCTTTCTCCTTTCTAATGTTGCATTCTGTTAATTTTTCTCAATTTGTTTTATTTTTCTTGTTTCTCCTTTTGTTAGGAAATGGAGGAGAGGGAGAGAGTCGTGAAGCATATGTGGGATGTGTACACTAACAGCCGTCGGATTAGATTGCCGAGATTTTGGCAAGAGGCGTTTGAAGCTGCCTACGAGGAGTTAACCAGTGATGTGCCTGGAGTTAGAGAGGCCGCAATTTCTGAGATCGCTAAGATGTCCGTGCGCTACGTGGATCTTGATCCTCCTCCTGTCCAATCAACGGTGACGATTTAGGGTTTCGTTTTGTAATTTATATTTATCGTTTTAGCTTAGTTTTTTTTTGGTGATATAGAACAATTGTCGCTATTCATGCACTTGAGCAGTTCACCGAACAAATGAATAATTGTCCAATTTACATGTAGTGCCCAAACAAACTAGGTTTTCCTCTAATTACTATTGGCCATTAGCTTAAACGGATTTTTTTTCTCCATTCATTAGAATTAATTTTAAACTGATTACTGGTTTGCTACTTCCAATATGGTTTCGTTTTGCATGAAATTTGATCTCTATTACGATTGGCTAATAGCTTAATGGATTGCCCCTTCATTTCTATTTTGTTTGCTACTTTAGGGAATGTTTAATTTTAATGCAATTTTCATTCCATTCAAACATAATTTTTGCCCATTGATCCTCCCTAGTGTACAATTATATGTGTATATATATGTAGACAGATACATACAGTAGTATATTTTTATTTCCAACATCCTTTTGGGGAATTATCATTAATTGAATAAGATCCATAATTGGAAATTAACAGTTTAGGTTGTGTTTATCTTCAGTTTGTTCCAAGAAAGGAGTCAATTTTGTTGCCATTTCTGGTTAAGTTGCTCTCCTTATTTGTTCTATCGATTCTGTTAGAGTATCATAGAAATGAAATCCTCCAGCTCTTCCCTTCCATAGGGGGAAGAAATCAGTTTGACGAAGCTTTTGTTAATCTTATTCTGGATCCTTCTACTCTCTAGTGTTGAAGGTCCAATTAAGTAAGGTGTTGCAATGAGGTTGGAATGTCTATCCACAAAATTTTGGTGGAAGGGCATTGAGATGAAGGGTTTGATGGTTCATTTTTCTGTTATTGAGTGCTATAGTACATAAGGTGAAAAGGAATAAGCTTAGGTCAAATGAAATAATGAATGAGACCAGATGTTGGTAAGGTTTCACTCTATGTGCTCTCGATATTGAATAACTAAGCATGCTATGTGCTCTCATGTTAGCTATTATGAAAATGGTATCGACATGTATACTCTCGTCGTAATTTCCAGTTTCTGGTCTTTTAAATGACTGTCTTCATTGGTACCCTGTGTGGTTGCTTTTATTCTGAGATTTCATGTAATTGAACCAGTTGAAGTGCTCTCAATTCTCTCTGTCTGATTTGGTATCTCACTTGTTAACTTGATGGCTTTATGCAGCACATATAACTGATAAAGTTACATCGAGTCACTTCATGCTTTCATTTCTTCTTCAGGTGTTTGCAGTTTCACTTTAAGTTCACGAATGTTAGGTTTTTCTATATCATAGAACCTGTTTTTATCTAAAAGATTGTAGAGTCAGGACGTGATCATTCTTTGATGGTAGTTACTGCTCCCAGTTAAACGAAGAGCTATTCAATGTCTTAACGAATAGTCTCATAGTAGAAAACTTTATCATGCATGAAAACCCGAAGGGTAAAAATAGCGGTTAGGAACAATTGAAAATGGAAGTTCTTTACTTCATGCTGTTTGTTGTTGTTTTCTTTTGATAGCTTGAGGGACAAGACTGGAATTTAATTGACATTGGTGTTGGGGTTTTTACCATTATGTTGGCAGAGTGTAAGGGAACTGAGCAAGGGTCTAAAACGATCACTGAAAGGTGGATCCAGTGTAACTTCAAGCGGAAGTGGTCAATGATGTGAAGAAGGTTGCTGGATCTGAGGAGTAGAAATTCTTCATCACTTTTTATACTCTCATTTTTCTGGAGAGCTGCCCAAGTTTATCAGACGTCACGGTCGGCAAAACCATATAGTTTACGTTTGTTATTGCAGGGACAAACCTATGTATTTATCTTAGTTAGGTTCATAATTCTTTTTTTAAATTGTTTCTGTCAATGTTTGTTCTATGGATTGGGCGGTAAGGATGACTAATAAGCCATCATAAGAGCATATTTTGAACAGTCAAATGGTTCAGACTGAAATTAAACTAGATAGTGAAAGAACGAACGAACTACGTATCCCTGCTTTAGTCAATTCTAAAACTGCATCAACAAAAAAAAAAAAACTTTTTCCCATCATATAATCCTCAAAAGATAAACGACGACAATACACTCTTCGACGTCCTTGGAGACGGGGGTATCGACAAATCAAATTGGAATCTGATAATTTAGAAGCGATTGGAGAAATCACGAATGGATGCAGCGAGATTGGCTGGTTCGTATAAACCATGTTTGACGGAGCATAATACATTTGCGGATACTCCTCCAGACCAAAATTTTCGTCTCCTACAATTGAATAAGCAACTTAGTGCTTTAGAGAATAGTATGTAATTTTTAGTTCTTTTTGAGCCAAAAAAAAAAAAAAGATAAACAACGACAATAAAACTGACACCTGATTATAAGGGTTAGGAGTTTGTTAGCAGCAATGAGAAGGATGCAACAGGATCAATAAATAACATGTCAGTGCTGTAATTTGAATATGTATGAAAGAATGAGGTATTAAGAGGGGTTATGCAATTTTTTTATGAATGGAACTTATCTGATTTCTTCTTCCAAGTTGTCATTTCTTCTCGTATTTTCATTGAAAGTATAAAATTCTACAGTTGAATTATGAGAAATTGACATCAAAGCATGTTTATTAGATCTATTTTCAAGATAAGAAGACTAAAGAAAACACAAAACGCAGAGAACATCATTATGACAGCTATTCAAGACCATATGTATATGTTATACAAGGTCAACTAAATGAAAGATGAAACTAAAGTTCCTAAATGGCGGAAAGCACAGATGAAAGAGAGATAGTATGCTGGAGTCGAGGTTTGATGAGAATCAAGGGTATATGAAGAGAATTAAAATGTAGAAAATTAAAATTACGAAGATCGGTCTTAAATGTTGAATGGCCAAGTAACCTCCCTAGTTCACACTTGGTCTGTTTTGATGGGATGGATAAAGTACTATAATACATGACAGAAGGTTTATGACCTAATCAAAAACGTAGTTCACACTTGGTCGTAAATGTAGTTTTAGATCCTATTAAAATATATTTTCCTCTTTTTTTTCTTTAATTAATCTAGAGTTTGTCAACGCTTGCATTAATCGGAGTGAGTATATATTGAGGGGCGTCAATCGACACCCCAAAAGTTTTTAATTTTTTTGTTCATATATATATATATATATATATATATAAGAGAAAAAATAATACATCTTTTAGAAATATTTGACATCCTTTAAAATGAAATTTATCTCATCTTTTAAAAATATTTAACAATAAAATTACATGTTTAGTGCCTAAATTATCAGTTTTTTTTTTGTTTTAGTACTTAAATTTTTATTTATTTCAAAATCAGATGTCCTCCGTGATCGTTATTATATGACCGCTATACTCGCAATCCCCGCAATAACGTCTGTTATATCCGCAATCGTGATAAATGCGACTGAAAATAGGACGGCAACCGCTATTTGAATCCCTGATCACGACCATGTATGTCCATTGCTAAAAAAGTTCATATTTCCATAACTAAGTTCTTAAAAATGCTATTATCAACCACATATTGTAATTCGCTATCAGTAGCAGTAAAGATATCTTAACAATATAAATAATTAGACTCAAGGAACCATGCCCGTCTTTCATCACATATAATGTACATATTCAAAAACTGATATTCATCAATACTTCCAGTTGCAGTGCAAAACTCTAAAAGTAGCGCAAAAAACAAAAAATCAAGTTAAAATGTTTGCAATACTGAGTTGAAATTAATCAACTTCATCAAAGTTGGATTAGATTCACGGATAATAACATACCTACGTCTGAGCTTTATTCAATGAAGGTGACGGAGAATGAAAACAAAAACTTAAAGGATTCAACGTTATTTTTTTTAGTAACAAGCATTCAACATTAGCTTCATGAAACGGAGTATATTTTTTTAAACGACCATATTCATGTTTACGAGGGTGATACAAAATTGGTGAAAATTGTTAAAACTCATCAATCATCGTGATGACAATTGACAGTGACCGATCACAACGAACGGTAATAAAAATCTAATTTGATTCAATAAAAAATGGAGAAAAGAATAGAAGAAAAGAGAACAAAATAAAAAGAGTTTTTTACGTTTTTATAGGTATCTAAAACGATATTGTTTTGATGACTTTTGTAGAGATTCAAAATAACATCATTTTCAAGATTCAACCCCATGGATACCGGCCACCAATGTTGTCTCCCTTCAGCACAACTACCTATTGGTCAGGAAGCAAGTGTCAGGGAGAGCGAGAACTTTGCGGTCTTCTCCAAGAGTAGCTTCGTGTATTGATCCTGCGAAGTGGCAATCTCCCCCTCCAAGTTATGTGAAGACCAATCTTGATGGTGCTTTTGAGCCTACTGGGCGTATATTGGTTGTGGGGTTATTGCTCGAGGTTCTGTTGGCCAAGTTCTTTGCGGCATGGCTACATCGTCACTAGGTTGTGTCAAAGCTAGGCTTTCGGAGATTCACGCTTTGAATGCAACACTTTTTTTCCGACTGAGTGTCAGTGGGCGCATTTAATCTTTAAATCAAACATAATGCTTGTGGTCAATAAGCTGTTTCAATCGGAGGAGGACTTATCCACGTTTAGTTATCATCTTCGGAAAGCTCGTAGGATTTTGGATGCCAATTTAAATTACAAGGTGTGTTTTGGTCGTAGAGTTTGTAATACTATTACACATACTTTGACTAAGTGGGCTCTCCGTTCTGGAAATACCTTGGCTCAATTTGTCGATATTAATACTTCTGTTGTATGCAATAATTCTTCTTCTGATAATACAAGGTCCTAGGACATTATTTTCCCCTTAAGGTTTAGAAGAGGTTTTTAATGAGTCTCGTTTTCTTTAAAATAATATCATTTTGTTGTATCATCGTATTATATGTCATGTCATCATGTGTTTTTTATTTAACATCTAATGATTAAAACATGAATAATGTCAAAGTTGAACAACAAAACAGACAAATTTTAGATTTTAAGGACTAAAATAAAAGTGGAAAGAAAGTTGAATGATAAAACTAACAATTTACCCTTCATTCAATACCTTTTTTTGTATTGTATGATATCTACTAGATTTTGAATGAAGGATTGCTCATTATGGTAGCTGCAACTCGATGTGATTAATATCATATTATTTTGCACCTGATGGCCTAGGGTACGGTAAAATGGAGAGTTAATTTATCATAAGGTCTTGAGAAAAAATTCAAATTAAACAATCATTTTTTTTGTTTTAAAATACAATATAAAAGGATAACCTATTTTGTGCTCCCCAAACTTTGATTAGCGCAAACATGCTGGATTTAAGGAAGAATCATTGAAATGAATAAACTTTCGAGGTTTCATCCTCAACTTTGACCCAACTTTGGAGGTTTCATCCTCCAATTGATTTATCCAAGAATTTTCTATTGTTTGTATGAAGGAAACAATAAGCAAAGCTCTGATAATTTTTTCTACACATTTTGTTTTCTAAACACGGCACTTAAAGATGATCTCATAAATCAACTAGTTCTGTTATGATTTGTGAGGCGTACTTTGTTTATGAAAGCGTATTTCCATACCAAATTAGGCAACAAAGCAGGAAATAGTAAAAAAAAAAATAAAGTAAACCAGAATAACTAACTCCAAAATAATCAAGAGTAGCGGAAAACAAATACACTGTAAGGGATGTATGGATTATCGAGAAAAGAGGAGCCGTGTGTAATGAACCTTACTGAATTTACGAAAGAAATTGGGATTTAGAGAAGTAGAAGAATAGATCGAAGAAAAGAACTTTTCATTAAAATTACCAGAATAGATTTTCCATTACATTTCTCCTTATATTCTTCATTACAAAATCTAACAACTTTATTCTATACAGCTGGCATAACTGATTGCTTCACATGTTGTTCACGTGTTGGACTCCTCTCAGCAATTTGAATTTGTGGGTCACTTCTTGTTGGGCCATTCTTCTTCAGTTCCAGCCCATCCTCTGTTGGGTATCACTGCGTGGTTCTTCTGCTCCAAATAACAACTCAGGCCTCCTGCTCCAGGTAAGATTTCATTTTCCCCAAATCTTCCACGATCAATCCCAACTCCTCAACTGAAATCCCTAGCAATTTCCCTTTTTCTTCCCCGCTCATAAACCGTGGTGGTCCCCCGAACCGCCCCGATCCCACGAGTGAATAGAAAGTTGGATCTACATTGGATCTCACTTGAATCACCCCAAGAGCTTCAGGGGAAAAATTGACTTTTTTTGCTTTGTCGGAAGCCACCGGAGAATGGCAGAGTCCCCTTTCTCCTATGACAATTTTAACATACACAATTTTCTCACTTTCTGTTGCGAACCCTTCATCTTCTTCCATCAGGTACCTTGTTCTACTTGTTAACAAAAGTTCATTGCATGAATTTACATGCAAGATCAATGCATAACATATTTATAGAACAAATTGTTGAAGGTTTTTTTTTTCCCCTGCATTTGCACGTGTAAATCTTTCAATTTTCTTCAGGGTTCTTCAATTGTTTTCCCCATGAGCCAATGAAATGAAAAGAGGGTTCCTCGTGCCCTTCAGGGTTCATGCGACAATCTTGCTTTTCTTGGATCGGACTTTGGCAAAGCCAACGCAACATGGTACCGACTGCTTCACCTCAAAATTCCCCAACACGTAAAAATAGCTCCCAACCACCTTCAAATTCATACCCAGACAACTCAAAATCACACAACGTAACTCACCA